ACACAGAAAAGTTCAACAGTTATTTTAACCATGTCAAATTCTTAGACAGGTTAAAAAACTTGTGAATACCCAATGACATAGTGAAAATACCTAAGAATGACAGGTGCATCATGGCCCCAATATGTTGCAGGAGGTTTATTTAAATATGGCATAACTGGATTTAATCTTGATAGACTTGTTTTAAAAAGGGCGGTGGTCATTGTGCCATGCTTATGCGACATTAGTATTATCAAAATCGGAAGTTCAAGTTTTACCCTGGGCGTGACATACACTAATTATCGTTGTGACTTCTTTGATACCTTTCAATCACCAAAGCAATTACATAGTAAAAGCTGGTACCAGTTTGTACTGGTTGGTCTACACATTACAGTCAAATTTGACATCTTCGTTTATATAAGATCTATGTGTCACACATGCGTGGCTTGACTGCCATCGCCCTTTTAATCAAAATATTAATTAAAACCTGTTTTGCTATAGCCCCCTCTAGTGGCAACACTTGTTGTATTCACCATACTATAAATTTGCTGGTCTATAATTTCCTTATTTTCAGCGATAAGTAAAATCTGCTAAAATAAATTCATGTAAAATAACGTTAAAAGTATAAAAATATGGTGAATAAATGGTTTTACAGTATTATCAATACAATACAGTCTGATGAGGAAAGCATCCAATATAAATCAAGTTGAATGTACAAGGATTTGCATATATTTATGCTAATATTTAACCCACTAATATTAGTCGCAGATGAAATTTTTGATGAATAATCCATTCAATTTTCTATGTAAGCACCAATACAGTTTATTTGTGACTAATAGAGCACAGTGGACACTTGGAAAGGTTTGATTGTGTTAACAGAATAGATTGTGTGTTATCATCCAACTCGCGCTATATGTGAATCGAAACCAGAAGAAAAAAAAACTGAAACACACATTAATTTTTTTTGCAGACTCATTTGCAGTTAGTATTTTCAAGAAATGTACAAATATTGTTTGCAACTTTGTGACCATCTCACAATTCATGTAACTTCAAATGGAATCTTCATCTCACATCAGAATATTTGCCTAAATCTTTGTCTTATAAATGCTTGACAATTATTAACAGAAGCATCTCATCTTCTGATGAAAAATACAATTTATATTCACTTACACTTTGTTTTTGCAGACTAAATATAAATCAGCAAACAATAAATCAATAGTAACAAATGTGTTTTCTAATAAATAAGTTAAAAATAAATGTTCACCTAATTCTGGATCACTGCAAACATCTTTCACTGTATTAATTACAGCGGGATACGTCAAATTAGTTATCAAGATACTCTCGCCTTTCTTGAACTTCATTGACTTTAAAACTGTATTAATGCCTTGAAAAGATATAAACAGCATGGTAACCAATCAGCATACAGGAAACTTATCAACAGTCAATCTGCATACATTAACTCATTGAGCAGAGCTTCAGGCACCATTCAAAAAATAGTTTCTTTTATAGTTTGCTCTTTCCCACATGAAATGTGGAAAGTTGTAAAATGGACGTCACATTTTGTCTGTCTGGTCCCATGGCCAGCTAAGCGCTCACCCCTAACTTTTGAGACATTTCCATTTTCGGGTTCACATTCGGCTAAGTGGCCATTCCCTCTAAACTGCCCCAAATTTGACTTTCCAATCATAAAACCTGACTTTTTTTTGAGTACCAATGATCAAATTTATAAACACAGTGAGGATATTATCCTCAATTTTTTGTTTTTTGCCAGCCTGCCAAGAAAGTGCTAGTTTTGGCTTTTTTCCCCTCCAGAACTGCAATTCCTTTGTTCAAACAAGGAAAATAACATTCTGCCATGTGAGGGCGCACTTTGTCTACTTTGTTTTTTATAACTTTTTTATCAAATGTTTATCTGTAAAATAAAGTGATGTATATCAAGGTCCTCTAATGTCCAATGTATTTTTTACCAAGATTGTTCAAAAATTGCAGAAATGCTTGATTTTATGCATTTTGAGAATTATCCAAAATGTGTAAACATGATCGAGCCATGCAAAAAAGGTGCATCCCCACAAAGATTGATTTGGATTTAGTGTTTGTTTTTTTATACTCATACTTTATACAAATGCAACTTTGAAGAAACCTTGGATAACATTCACAGCCAAATCATTAACTCATTAGCTCTATTTAAATGTTTTTTAATCAAAGATCAAATGTGAATAACCTAATAAGTTTGTATGTATATAAATATTATAATAATATAAATAAATCCCCATCACATTATTATATAGTGGTTATATTATCTTTTGACACCCTCTTCATTTATATTTTCATACATATTTTGTAATATAAATTTATTTCTTGTCAATAATTAATTTGTATGATTGTAATGGGCTGGAGGCCATAATACAATTAAATAAAGAAGAACCACAGGTACTTGTCTCAGACCAGGCCTTGTTGGCGCCAAGATAATTAGAATATAGTCCCTTAAAATGCCATATTTATATCTGATTGGTTATAAAATCAGACTAATGACCAATTAGGTGAAAAGACATTGTTGCAGGTCAAATCATACAGCAACAAATGGAGGAAATAATATTGTAATGAAATTGAAATTACACCAATATTTTATCTTCAAGTACAAAACAGTGTTTCTTGCGAATGAATCACGGTGCACAAACGCAGAACATAAACAAGTGTGGTGGCCTATAGTACCTAGTACTTATATAGGTGTACAATGCACCTATTAAATGCTATGGTGATGGGGGGTACAACACTATTTCCGTTTGAATTAACTTTTTTTATGTCACATATATCACACTAAAGCAAATGATAGAATAGAGCAAATGCAGGAATAAATTCTGACAATTTTTATATTAATTATACCTGTTGTTGTGTTCTCCACAAACACCATATGTTCAATGTTAGCGCCAACAAAATCACCAACACTGAGAAGCGCTTCCTCGTAATAAATAGGACTCTTCAATCTCATGAATTCATCAGGAGAGTACTCGGCTTCTTTAAGGAATCTACATCAAAAGATAATACCGTAATGTCTGTGATAATGCATAATAATGCATATGATAATTTTTAACCCAATGCGAAAATATAATGAGAGTCAAGGTCCAATTATGTTCAACGCATGTACCAATTAAGTTTGGATAGAAATTGTTCACACATTACTGAGATGCAGAATAATGAAAATGTGTAATTTTCATGCATTTTTGGCCATAATGAATTGGATCATAAACAAATGCATTCTAGCGATAGTGATTTATAATAATAATGACCCCCCCCCCACAGTGTCATATTGGATTCAAAGAGGGGTCACTATAGTTAATATCATTATCTTGCCATAGACCCTTTTCCTTGTCCAATAAGGCATTGTGGGAGATTCATTATTGTATAAATAATGTATGCCAATGACATAATGCATTGCCCAAATATGGACAATGATATATTATAAAAATAACATGGTTTATATCAGTGTATGTAACCAAATCTTATTTGAAGAATAGAGAACCCTGTTGCATTATGGGACACTGGCATACTGAAATTTCAGTTCATGTCATTAAATAAATCATATACATCTAAATAAGTACTGTTACCATAGAAACCAAAACAAATTAAAAAATGAGAATGATACAAATGTTCAATAATTTGGTGTTTGGATCAAATTCAAATTTTTGACTGAGCATGTTACTGCAGATATATGCAATGCATTATGGGATAGAACTACCCATTGTATATACTGTGAAATACTTTATTTTAGCTGGAATTAATTTTGTATGGATTTTATTTTCACTGATTTTTAATGAGTTAAATGAAAATATAGAAAAAAAAATATTCGCTTGATTTTATTTTCACTGAATCATTCATTCAGCGAAAATAGCGAAAATAAAGTATTTTACAGTAATGGAAAACTATTATCACAAATGAAAACTCACTATTATAAATTAAATATCAATTTTTCAAAATGCTTCAACAGTATATACAATACAAAATACAATTTGTGCCATTTTCCAGGGCAATTCAAACACTCTTTCCTCCAAAACTTAAACTTTAATTCAGCTCAAACCTTTATAACTAATGACAGTAACATGTACTGTTACAAGTATGAAGACCATTTTGGTCTGGACCAGTAAATTAGAAAAAAACAACAAAATATCACCTACTCTCCTCTTGCATGAAGCACTCGTTTTGGCACAGTACCATAGGAACCATGGTTACATTGGATGACATCATCCCCAAGCAGAAATTCCTCATCTCGAATTTCTTGCCCAAATCTTGGTTTTTCCTTCTTTGATTTCCTTAGCAACCATGCAGCTAAATAACTGAAAAAGCTGATAGCAGAAGTGACTGCTATTGCAACCATTAAAGGTCGAGGTGCCATCATTCTCCTCTCCATTTGGCTACTAGATCTGCTGGTAGTGAAGTTGAAATATTGAATAAATTATGTTAATTAAATAAAATGTTTAATAATTATATCCAATCAGATATTCAGATAAAAAGTTGAAATATTTAATAAATTATGTTAATTAAATAAAATGTATAATAATTATATCCAATCAGATATTCAGATAAAAAGTTGAAATTTTTAATAAATTATGTTAATTAAATAAAACGTATAATAATTATATCCAATCAGATTGTTCAGATAAAAATTTGAAATATTTAATAAATTATGTTAATTAAATAAAACGTATAATAATTATATCCAATCAAATATTTCAGATAAAAAGTTGAAATATTTAATAAATTATGTTAATTAAATAAAATGTATAATAATTATATACAATCAGATATTAATTCATATAAAAAGTTGAAATATTTAATAAATTATGTTAATTAAATAAAATGTATAATAATTATATTCAATCAGATATTAATTCGTATAAAAAGTTGAAATATTTAATAAATTACGTTAATTAAATAAAATGTATAATAATTATATCTAATCAGATGTTCAGATAAAAAGTGGAAATATTTAATAAATTATGTTAATTAAATAAAATGTATGATATTATACCCAATCAGATTATCAGATAAGAGATTCATCATGTTGGGTTAAAATTGAATATACCGACACAGTACAGATGTCATGCAACATGTCACTGTTTTGTATGTGCATTATATCGCATAAGGGTCCTGCATTTATTGCATGTGTGCCGCAAATGGATCACATTAGAACCACACATTATTTGATGCTTGCATCGCAAATCTTAATCATCTTAATCAGTAGCAATCTAGCCTTACTCTAGAGAAAGGAAAACATAAATGCTGCCCGATTTTTGTGATTGTTACGTGTACGAGGTCATAAATGAAATAAAATTACCATGGCCAGGATAATCTATTTAAACAACTGTGAAAACACGATTGAAGCGTACGAAGTATGCGATAACTTAGAGATGGGAATACAATAAATTGACAATGTGAATACAAAAGATGGGTGATGCAAATATGATAAAGGAATCAATGTGTGAATAGGATGGGCAAAAGCCATAGCCTACTTGAACCTTGGCATCAGATATAATCTGACCCAATGTGATTAAAATTTGATGTTAATTAAGAACTGAAGATATCATTGGAAAATGAACAATATGTATAGTATCAAAGCAAACAGACTAGCTGTTTTCAACAAGAAGTCGAAAATATCACTATTTACCAAAAATATTCGTCAAAATTAGAGAATTGAAGATATCATTACAAAATAAACAAATCTAAGAGAGGTTCACATGTAGTACCTATATATGTAATATCAAAGCAATCAGACTTGTGGTTTTTAACAAGAAGTCAAAAATATCCCTTTTTACCAAAAATTACAAAAATATTCATCAGAATTGAAGATATCATCAGGAAATAAACAAGACTGAGAGAGGACCACATGTAGTACCTATATATGTAATATCAAAGCAATTGGACTTGCGGTTTTTAACAAGAAGTTGAAAATATCCCTTTTTACCAAAAATTACAAAAATATTCACCAAAATTAGAGAATTGAAGATATCATCACAAAATGAACGAATCTGAGAGAGGTCCACATGTAATACCTATATATGTAATATCAAAACAATCAGACTTGTGGTTTTTAACAAGAAGTCGAAAATATCACTTTTTACCAAAAAGTAGACACGGATGACGGTCGCCGGCGAACAATCTTATGATAAGCTCCGCTCAACAAAGTGGACAGCGGAGCTAAAAAAAATAAAGCTTAAAGCTACATTATATTTTAATATCAATAAGATTGAATCTGATTAGAACATTTCACAATATATCTATGTATAAAAATAGTTATTTATAATACTACCGGGTATATATATATATATATATATATATATATATATACATTGTATATATAGGAAGGTAGTCGATTATTCCAGGTGAGAGTGCTCGATACTAAACGATGAGTTTGTAGAGCAGATTTACATACGTGGAC